GAAAGACGACAACTGCGCCGGTTTCTACCTGTATCAAATTTCTATCCCTTAAATAAAGCGACAAGTAAATTTGCATGAGCGCCGAAGTATTCCGAAAATATTCGGCTTTTAAAAGAGTTAAATCAATGCAAACACCCCTGGACGAATGATGATCGCGATATCGTTGTCGTAAATGTTGGAGATAATAAAAAAATGCAGTTGAAACATCAAAAATTTTCCTCATCCCGGAGAGAAAAAAAGAGCGGCGAGTAACGGAAGTGTAAACGAGGGAATGAAGATTGTGCGCTCCGGGCGAAAGCTCAGCACGCTTTAAGGCGAGATAAGAAAGGCACTGTGAGACAGAAAATTGCAAACGGAAAGTAGCGGGTGTAGCGGTTGAATAGCGGTGAAGAGCAGGGTGAAAACGACGCTCTTATACTAGCTTAAGCGAAGAGACCGTGATATTCGTGATGCAGAGCCTCGACGACTTGATGACGTACAATTCCACGTCTCACCTTTGGAACGTGACAACGCTGTGGTTCGACAATGGCACCTACCACAACGGCACGAACTACACGGATCTGGCGCCGCGGAATCAATTCGTGCTTCCGTGGTGGCGGCAGATGATTTGGACGCTTCTGTTCGCCGGCATGATCACCGTGGCGACCGGTGGCAATTTAATAGTAATATGGATCGTGCTGGCGCACAGGCGGATGCGCACCGTCACCAATTACTTCCTGGTGAATCTCAGTATCGCGGACGCCATGGTGTCCACCTTGAATGTCACCTTTAACTACACCTACATGCTCAACAGCCACTGGCCGTTTGGAACGCTCTACTGCAAGATTTCCCAGTTCATCGCGGTTCTCACAATATGCGCCAGCGTCTTCACATTGATGGCGATATCCATTGATCGGTAAGTCTTTTCTTTTTTCTTCTCTCTCTTTTTTTGGGGTTAATACGCTCTTGAAAATCAATTATGAAAGATAATACAGCGTTATATCGCGATAGTAACTTAATATATCAATATTAAGATATTAGATAAATATCATCTTAAGTCCTCCTCCTACAATTATACTAGACGTAATGTTATCAAATCGTGATGTTATCATCAATGAACAAGAGATATATCCTGTCAATCTATCATCCTGCTTAAACACGAGTTTAGAACAAGAGATATATCCTGTCAACCTAATCGTCCTGCTTAAGCACGAGTTATCGTTGATCCTTAGCTACATCAAATATAATAATCCCAAAGATAGTGACTTTCTAACTTCCGTATGAACGTTATCTTTCTTCCCCTCGCTTTGGTATATTCTCGCTTTTAGTTCGCGAAACTCCTGCTGAAACTCCACTTGGATCGATGTTTGGCTCTCGAAAAATATATTTCCTTCTCCTGTTTATCTAGAAAAGTCCCAGCGTGTGTTAAAGTAGGTACAGCGTGGGCGCGCCTTATATGACGGTGGGTTTAAGAAGGGTTAACAGCGAAACGGAAGCAAGTCTCAAGCAAGTCATAATGACGGGGATCAATCTGACGTCGAAAGTCAACCAAGAAAAATGAGGAAGATAAATATTTGCGATCTAGCGTCACCTCTTCTGCTATTAGACGAGGTGAAACTTCGTCACTAAGATCCAATTACATAGTTCAACAAATCTCAACTTCTTTATTTATGACTTAATCCAACTGTTATCAGTTGATATTGCAAAAAAAGGCTATTTTCATATATTTTTATTGTAATTACAATATATGACTGAATATGCTGAAGTATATTAATATATTATATAGTATACAGGATTTTTAATCCTCAAAAAGATTTTTTAGTGTGTCGGTTATGATTAACAAGATATTTATGTTAATCTATTCAGGTTAAATATTGATTGATATAATTAAATGTGGTCTCTATATTACGGAATAGTCATTAATTATAAATCATTTATCGAATAACCTATAATTCAAAATTATAAAAGTCTACATATAAATTTTTGCAATAATTTGAATATTATCAAGTTTTGACATATTCCATTATATACATTGAATTCACTACTTTGAATTTATTAATTTTGATATCGAATTCGTTGAAAGGTGTCTAATAAATCATTAATAACCTAATTCACAGCTTTTTTGCGATAGGTTTTACATTTAGCTGTGAATAACAATATAACAATAAAACAGGCAAATAAGAGTCGATTCTTTAAAATGTAAACGTATAAAAATTATTAATAGAAATTAAATCAATACATACATAATAGAAAACAGAGATATTATTACATGTTTTGGCTCCTATGGTGAGTGTTTCATCGAGATGTTGTTTGCTTACTTTTAACAGAATATAAAAAAGACAATTTCCCTAAAGAATTTTATTTTATCGAATTTTATTTATCTAATTATTGGTGAACGAATTTTGTCTTTCTGATCAGAACATCATGAAATTCCGTAATAATCGAACATCTAATTGTTTATGAATAACTGACATCTTCTATGTAACATTCATCAACATCGTTGTATAAATTGGAACACATTACTTCATGTTTTTTATCTCTTTAACAATGGTAACTAATGTAAAGTGTGAAGAAGATAATATCTGAAGATGGCTCAATATAGGAGCCAAAATATGTAATAATATCTTTGTTTTCTATTATGTATGCTACTAATAATTTTTATACGTTTGCATTAAAGAATCGACTCTTATTTACATGTTTTATCGTCATATTATTATTGAATTTTTAAGAGTTCTTGACTGTTTTATATTATTAGCTGTGAATAACTTATTAACCACACATAGCCGTATATTGAAAGTTCTAATAATATATTTAACAATTAATTGCAATCAAACTTCTCCAGCATATCGTAATTATAACATGACAAAATACGTGGAAATGATCCCTTTTTGCAACTTTAATTGCAAATTTTTCAAAATTGTGATTTAATGGAGCAATTTAGAAAACGAATTTGGGATATTTAGCATCCAGAAAATTATAAAAAATGACTGATCTTATTTTAGCGTTCAAAAAAAAATTATTTTTTTGTTGAACAGTGTTATTAGTTATCTTATAACGACATATTCAATAATAGAAATGCATGAAGAAATGGGCAAATAGAATAAGAACATTTTTACGGTAATATCGGAGAAGTGCAATTCAATCTGCGAGCTGGAAAATGCCGGGCTAATTTTCCAAAGCGACTTCCCTCTTGAATTAACGCTATTCACAGAATTACACTCTCAACGGAATATATAATTCACCGTCCTTTTTATCATCACCGCAAGCCCAATTATTCCTTTTTTTTTTTCTTTTAATTCAATTACAATTAATCAGATTGGAAAAAAATAAATTCTCTTAGTTGAAGGAAGGAACTATCTATTCAAAATAATCGAAACTTGTGCAAAAAATCGTGAACTCTAAAGATGTCGGAACAATGCGATTGCATGGGTAACATTCTGAGAGTGACCTCTTAAATTCTCATAAATCTCGATTAAAAAACTTAGTCACTTTTCAAATCAAACAATCTATATCAAAACCGATTACGGTAAATTCACGTTCTGCGAAATGAATAATTACTTCAAGAGACTAAAGTTCGAAAACTGAATACAGAAAAACTGCTAGTTAGAACATTGCTTTCTTCGAACTAAAGGAGCGTATGCTCATTTCTTCTCAATTGTGCTCCAGAAGAAAAGCCATTATTCGACGACAACACAGATCCAGAGCCACGAGAAACGTAGAATGATTAAAGGCCCGTTCCGCGAGAGATGCTCTATGTATTCAATGTTTTTTATACGTTCCTAAGAGTTACCCTAAAATGACGATGTATTTCTCAAAGATTTAGACATTTTGGAAGCAACATTTCTTCGATTAAAAAAACATGAAAAATTATAAAAATTTCGATCGTCCGATGCTCACTGACTGAGATGCTACGTGATATCGGAGGGTGCTCGGGTCGTAAATCCTAAAATTCGTTTTTATGCCAGGAATAGAACGCAGGAGGAATCGCCCGATGTCGATGGTAATCGTCGATAACCGGAAATAGCGTGCACGTCACACGCCGATGGATTTATCGCGTAGAACTAATTTTCGACGGATTAAAGGCTAATGCAAATATTACGCATATTATTGCTTGCGTGACAACGAGAAGCCCGACATTCCGTGGGCGATATTGATACAAGGCCGTTTTCAAGTGACATTTCGTCTGCGGGGAAACGCCAATGGAGCATTGAACTCGATCGGCTACATTCCCTGATAAATGATAATGTGCTTTATCATGAACGAGGCAATCTGAGACCTCGACAATACACTACGGTATGATGGAAATAGGCAGAGAGAAGAGAGAACGTGGGAGAAAGAGAGAAAGAGAGACAGAGAGAGAGAGAGAGAGAGAAAATCTCTCTCACCAGAATGTAAGCGCGTTGTGATAGAAATACTGGTATTGTAACCTGCTCGGATATCGTTTCGATCGATTTTCACTGGTGGAAGCTTTTATCTAGATCATTAAATATATTACAGTGGAGCTTTATATGTTGCTACAACAAGCTTCAGTAAATGCGATGAAATTGAATGGATGCTTACACGATGCGCAGACAACGAATGTAGAGTGTTCCGGCGAAAATTTATTCCGATGAATTCGCGACAGAGGCACCGAAGTGAAATCGAGTTTAAAGCGTAGATTCTGAGGCAAATCCTTTTCAAATTAATTTTCACACGATTTTGTCCGCCGCACTCTGTAGTCGCGTCGAAAGCAGACGTTATTGTAGATATAAAAAAACTCAGAGATTGGACCGCCAGTTAATTTCTTCAGCACTCGATAACCCACGCAAGAATATTGCTGTTATCACTATCTACCAACGTAGAGCACATTGATCTGGTAACGCGAAGTACTACGAGGAGAAGGTCACTCTTAAAAGGAAAAGGCGATGATGAATAAGAGGCTTGACACAACTTTTTTTTATCGTAAGAAAGAAAAAGACAGAATTGTCACAATATTAATTTTTCGTCCTAAAATTCCATAACTTTTTCCTAATTTTTTAACAAAATTTTATGATTTCCTCCGATTTTCAATAATATAAAAAAATTTTTTGTATTTTCATTCTGATTTAGAAATCGTTAAATATTTTTTGTCGGGAGATCAATTTAACATAGTAATGTAAATTACTATTAATGTCACTGACATTGCTTGCATTTTTAATTGTCAAGTTGAGTATAGTATTTCGAAGTTACGTAGGTACGATTTATGATATATGTATATTAAATTTTTTTAAAGCCAAGAATTTTTATTTTCGTGAAAATTTTACAAAATTCTCTGACTTTCCCCTAATTTCCCTAATCTTTTTTTTCCATTTTTCTTACAATTTGATCCCTGATTTCTAGTTTTGTGACAATTATTTATTCTGGTAGATAATTGCCGTAGTGTAAAGTAAAAAATAGCTTCATTTAAATTATTCTCACGCCGGATATTTCTACAGTGCGACGGGAAAACGCCTTTGAGAAAACGCTGACGAGAAAACGACTAGTTATAAAGGGCACCATTAAGTATCGCCATAAGAATAAGGGAAAAATCCCAATGAGAATAATCCTACGAAAGGGGTCGCAAATTATTTCACGAGGCACTTGACCTTGATGCAGCCACGACGAACGTGAAACGAACTAATTAGGTTTTTACGGTTAATGCTGTATTTCCATATATCTAGAAACCAGGAAACGTCCGTGCTCCGTAGGCGACAGGTCATATTAAGGATTGAAATATTAACCGCGAATAATTGTAGTGCTTTTTGCTTAATTCAGAACTTAGAACCCTAGTTAGATTGCAACAGAGCTCATTAAAATGCGAATGTACGTCGAGCAGAATGTGCATAAAGCATGCTATTTTTACAAATTTCCCTACGAAATATTATTTTCAAATTTCGTGATAATAAAATATACCTAATA